CCACCACCACCTCGGTTCCACTCCACTCCCGTGGGAGCGCCCCGTCACCGTGGATTTTTTTTAGTCGTACTTTATGGAAAGCACAGAGGGAAGAACCCCCACACCTGGGTTCCACCCCACGGGGGGGGGGGGGTAAAGAAAAGAAAACCCAGACCCTCTTCTGGCGAGGTTCCTGCCGTTTCAGGCCGTATTTCTTAGATATTGGACAAAAGGGGAGAGGGGTCTTTTTTTTTTTTTTTTTCCTTTTCCAGAACACAGCAGCCTGTTCTGAAAGTGAGTCGTTGGAGGACTGTCAGTAATGCATTTTTTCCTATTGAAAACAGAAGCTACTGTAATGCTTTCAAATATATGCAAATGATACATGCGGTTAGTGGTTTGGCAAATCTTGATTACAATATAAACTACCCCAGTAAAAGTGCCTTCGTCCTAAATTTGTCTCTCGATTACAATTCCAATTGATTTTATTTTATTGTCAACATTGTTAATGATAAAAATAGAGTCGTTTTACAGTTATTTTTACTTTCTGGAAGGAGGCAATTAGAGTTCTAATCAGGAATACACAAAAATCTCCCATGATTAACTGCAGTACTTTGTTCAAATTGCTGCTATAAAATTCAGAACAATTTGCCTGTAATGATTATGGACTGGGTTTATTTTGGGAGGGTGGAATAAAAGTGGATATAGCATAAATTATCCTCTAATTATACACCAGTGTCGCCTCAATTATCCTCTTATCAAAATGGTTGTCTAACTGCCGCATTTAGTTTCAATTCTCTCCTTTTTTTCTATAAAAAGAACTTCATACCTTGTTATTATTAATCCATTTATTATTTGCAAGGGGATTTATATCCGCACATCCAGGTGGTAGAACCACTTCTCTTTCAAAGATGGACTGGGGAAAGACATTGAGTTCGGAGCAGCCCAAGGCTGCGGATCTAGCCTTTTCCCTCCGGCCTCCAGACCCACGCAGGTTCGGACAGCCGGGCAGAGACAGCGGAGCCCGGTGCGGCTCAGGTCCCGCCACCAGGTAGGAGGGCCGGAGCGGGGCCCGGCGCCCAGACGGGCAGGCGCCGGAGCGGGTAGGCCGGGCTGCGTCGGGCTGGGGGCCCGGGACTGCAGGGGGACGCCGGGGTCCTGCGCTTGCCACGGAATGCGAGCGGGTGGGCAAGACCTGCAGACCCCTCGGCCCCAGCGCCGGGTTTCGGTCTGCGCAGAGACCCATTAGCGAGCCTTCGGCTGCACGGAGAAACACACACCCCAACGACTCTGTGTCGCCGTGTCCGGAGGTCGCGGGGACCAGGCTGCGTCTCCCTTTGGGAAAACTACTGGGGGCTTCTTTGCACCCTGCTTCGCCAGTACCCCATAAGCCGCAGGACCAAAGGCGACCGAGAAGGGGAGCGGTGGTACGACTCGCCCCTGTACCCCCAGGGAAGGGAGGCGCGCGCGGGGCTGCTAGGACTCGGTTTACACCCGACGCGAAGCTCGCCTGCCGCGGCTCCTGCTCCCAGTCAGGGGACTCCAGGCCGCTCTGCCCTCTCCTCCTTTTTTCTTTCCTTCTTTCAACATGTCGGGAGATCCGAGGCTCGCTGCTCGCGGATTTTCTGCAGAATCCCCGGGTCAGCGGCGTCCGTGCCCCCCCCTCCCGTCCCCAGCCCGCCGCGCTGAACTCCTGAGTCTTGGGAGCCGGTTCAGTAACTCTGAATTCACTTTTAAGTGGTGTGGCTTGTTCCCCTCCTTTTAACAAGAAGTGCACTTTAACACGCGAGCCGGTAACCCGATCCACGCGTTTACAAATCGGCAGTGAATTAAAACAACAACAACAGGGCTTCATGGAAAATGAAAGGCGGGCTGGGTGAGGGGGAAATGCAGGAGGTGCGGGGGGACAGCAGAGGAGGCCAGGAGGAGAGAAGACTCCCCACCTCCCGCCCACCCCCGCCCCAGTGGGCTCTCGGCGCACCGGGCCGCGCGCCGCCGAGCCTGACTCTAAGGTCCTCAGAGCCAGCAGGTAATGGTGGCAGTTTTATGACTTTATACCCTGCAGCCTGCTGTTAACACGGCGAAGGAGTCCGCCGTGCCTGGCGGCGTCTCTCGCTTTATGGTCGCAGGTGCACTGCTGTCCTCGCCGGCTCCCCTCTACGTCGGCCTCACCCGAGCAGGGAGACTCGCGGCGGGTCTGGGACTGTCTCGCGCGTGAGCCCTAGCCAGGGTGCTCAGCCTTTTTCCATAGAGGCAACCTTTCTAGTTTGTCTGAGGCCCCAGGAAGCCAGGCGGGCAGGGATCATCAGGGTGTCGCTTTATTTCCCCCAGCCCTCCCTCATTAGGTAGGGGACGCGGTCCCTGAACTCGGCCCTGGTGTAGCAGATGCACTGAAGTGGCAGTTGTCTGGTAAGGGTCCTGCTGAGAGCTGCTGGGCGCAGTCAGGGGGTGCGGCGCGGAGAGAGCCAGGCGTCCCCTTGGCTTGATGGGCCCTTGCGGGGTAGACTCGAAATCTCAGGCCCGACGGTCCCTATTTCCTACCAGTGCCAGGAAAAGAGAACCGGGGTGCTAGTGTGAGCCCACACGACTTGCATGGAGCACGCTGCGAGTGGCGGCCACGTGTGGCGTCTGCCACCAGCCTCAGCTCGCAGAGACTCCACGGCGGTCGTTCCTCTTCATGGAACCCGGCAGATCACTTCCTGGTGTTCGCCCAGCTTCCCGGGTGGCGGTCATGAGCCGAAGCGAGGCGGCTGGGGTCACCCCTATTCGTACTAGCCCAGCCCGCACACCTCCAGCCCTTCTGCGAGGTACAAAAACTCGGGTTTTGCGGGGCCCGGCGGGAAGGCGCACACCACAGGGGCTCCAGGCCCCGGCGCCGGGTTGGGCGCCAGCGGAGTCCTGGCTCCAACCGCTTTGTCTCGCGCGCAGGGGAACCCGGGCCGACCCTTTCGGGTGGGAGGAGGAGGGTCGGCGGGGCAGCGAAGCCTTTATCATTCAAAATAAAGTAGACCCAGCAATCTGGCCTTGGAGGCCTAAGGCTCTCTCGGGGCCTGTAGTAGGTGTGGATCACATTCACTAGGTTTAAGAGGCACGATTTGAGGCCTGTTTTAAGGTGGGAGGCGGTGGAGCTTGTATTCGAGTGTCAGCGTTATTTAGAGAGAAATTCTTGCAGGCTGCCAACACAAAACCTCCCGGGTTGCCCCAGGCCCGCTGGAGGAGTGACCTCCGTGGCCCGTGGGCTCCGTGGGCCCGTGTAGGCACAGCCTGTCCTCCTGGGAAGGCTCTGGACGCCCGAGGTGGGTTTTGCAGGCTCTACACTGGAGAAATATCTTCCAGCCAGGCAAGACGCGGCTGGGTTTGGTTGCTAAGTTGGGCTCAGTTATCACGTTAATTATAAAGAAATTAGACCTGGATAAATAGCCTTTGAATTCAAAGAAATAACTCGGTATTGATTTACACAGCCATGCTTAGAACCCCCCTCTCAATGGGAGACATTGGCAGAAAAAAATATTCCTGCCAGTCTTTTCCTCCTTGAATGCACTGTAAAATTCAGTTGTGTAGGTGTGCGAGGAAAGGGCGCCTGGTGTCCTGGAAACCTCTGCACCTTTCTCTCCTCCCCCAGCACACACACCTGCCAAATCGGGGTATGTGGGAACTGCCCCTTTCACTTTCTTAGCCTGGGCCAATGATGGTATCCTCAGGAGTGGCTGAATTATCAGCCCAGGCAAGGACACGCTCTGAGTTTGGCGCTATTTTCCCTAGTGATAAAACTGTAATTGTCTTCATTAACACCCTCCTCTCCCCAACACCCCCAAATCCAGCTAAAAAGTGGATTCTGTTTATTTCACATTCAGAAAGAGCCTTCTTGGAGTTGGGTGGCAACCTTTTCCTCATCTCTCCAGGCTTGCATCCCAAGAACAGGCAGCCAAGAAACTCGAGTGGCATTGGCTTCTGCAGGGGGCTTCACAGGGCTTTTCAAGACGATGATCTGGTTTGGAGAGTGTTAACCTTGCATGTCCCAACCTAGAGGCTCTTGCTCCATTTCCAAACCTGGAGTCCAGTGCAGGACTGAACACAAAGCCAACCGGGCCCTCAAACTTAACACCTTTGCCTCCTCCCTGACCCCACTCCCAGGTGTGTGAGCACCCAAAGGTTTTGTAAAAGAGGGAACAGAGGTGCAGGCTCAGAATTGATGGGGGTGGGGGGGGGGGCTACACGTTTCTACCTTCCCTAATTTTGGATTGTATACAGAAGTCCTCTGCTTGTCTTTTCTCACTTCCTTTCTCCTCCTCTTTCTTCTTTCCTCCCCTCCTTTCTCCTCTCTCTTCCCCTCAACAAGCACTGGACCTCACACCCTAATATACAGACATGATTATTTCTCTAAGCCCAGACAAAAAGAACTCAACAAGGTTTAAAGACTTAGATTAAAAAAACAGGATAAATGCTGGCATTTGTCTTTTTAGTTTGTATGCAAAACCAAGGCTGAAAACCGTGTTTGCCCTGCTGGGAAATATATCAGGGTGAGGGAGAGGGGAAGGGGTGTTAGAAGTCAGCTTTAATCAAGCCAGGCTCTGGAAGGCAGGACCCCCAGACCACAGGAGACCGAATGCAGCCCTAGAGTGCTGGGAGCAAGTATCAACAGGAAGCAGCAGCCTATTTTTAGGCATAATAAGGAGCTAATATCACTGCCCTAGTGTCTTCCTAAATGCCTCCAAGCATCTTCGGTTTAAAGCCTGCACCCCTTCATCAGCAGGAACAACAACAAAGTCTCAGCAAACGCCTCTCATGAAGGGAGAGCCTGGCTCCAGCCGACTCTTCAGGAAAACCTGGGACGGAAGACATCCTCTTGCTGTGATGTGAACTCTTAGACGGTTCTCTTGTTACAACGGAAAAATAAATGAAAACCGTGTTTCATTAGAGAGAGAAGGCTGTTCTGTATCTGACTACCCTTGTGATGTAAATGGATGGGTTGTTTCTCTATCCCTACCTGTTCACAGGCATTTCTTGTCCACTTCATGTGGAAATATCCCACTATATAGGAAGGTAATGTATTCATTTTTTTAAAGCAAAAACTTTTCTCAGAGGGTCACGGGTTTGAGTGCCCTCAGAAGAAGCTAGGGCAGTTTGCTTTTGTTTTTAAACCCATTCTTCCAAATATACCCTTTCTATTTTCTTTTGTTCAGAAAAACACCCCCCCCCCCCCTTAAAACACAAATCTGGGAGAAAGGAAGCCCCTCCCCCATCCTCTCCTGGGAATACAGCCTTTTTCTTTTCTTTTCTTTTCTTTCTTTTCTGTAGGTTTCACTAATTTCTGCAGAAAGCAGCAGTGCCCTGGGCCTTCTCACGTGTGAATAGGCTCTTCCCCACAGGGCCCAAGCCTTCCGTTCTTGCAATACACATTGCAAGGTTGTGTGTGTTTGCTGGCTCATACTTGGGTTCACCCCGTTTCTCCTACTAAACATCGTGGAGGGGAAAGCGGAAGGTGGTAAACAAGCGGGGGGCACATAAAGAGAGGGTGTGAGAAGGAGAAGGGCTTCAGGAGAGGGAGCAGGAGGGCGCGGCCGCCTGCCTGAGCGTTTTCCACTCGTCCTGGCCGCGGGATCCCGTCATCCCCTAAAATGAGTTGAGCAGCAGACAGGCAGAGTTGACGGTGACACTAGCGGTCCCGTGGACCTGCAGACCGGACGCTTGTATGTTTCTTCCAGGGCCTTGGGCGGGCCTAGAAAACCAGACTCCAAACCCAGCGCTTGGTTCACTAGCCTCGACCCCGGCTCCTGCCTCCCGGCGGTTCCTTCCTTCCCGCCCCCTAGCCTGCTTTGCCCTCGACGCCAGGGCAACGCGTGCCCCCTGTAACAGCAGCGACGTCCAAGCAGGAGAACCCTTCCCCGCATTCAGGGCGAGGCTCGGGAGGCCTCGAGCCCAAGAGTCTGAAAGGCGACGGCTGCGTCACGAGGTGTCGGTCCAGCGGTCCCCAGGACCAGGCCGGCGTCCTCGGCTCTCCTCGGGCTGGGACGGAGGAGGCTCCGGAGAGCGGAGGCGGGGCGTCGGCAGCTGGCTCCCACGCGCCGCCGTCAGCGGGCAACCCGGCTGGGTAATGGGAGTCAGGAGGCAGACATCTTCCGAGAGCCAGCCACTGTCTTGTAGAGATTTGTAGAGAAACCCTCACTGTAATTAAAACCGTACAGTCAGATTAATTCAATGTGTTGCTCAGCAGCACTTTTAATAGTAAAAATCCGCTTTAAAATTGAATTAGGGTCGAAGAAAATTTCTGCGAGACTCGCCGGATTTGCCAGCTTTCACTGAAGCCAGCTCAGGCTGGACGCGGGCGGTGGCCGTACAACTTCGCTTGCCCCACCCCCATCCGACCCGACGCGGGGTGGGTGGACGTGGAGGTGCCGGGCGGGTCCACGCGGGCGCTCGGCTGGGCGCAGGGCCTGGGGTGAGCCCTTCTGATCGCTGGGCTCAGGGCGTCTCGACACCCAGGGCTCCCCTCCCTGACCACCCTCCCTGCGAAGTTCACGGCCGAAGAAAGGTGGGGGATGCGGAGAGAAACGAGCCCCGCTGGGTCTTGAAACAATTTCCCACACTGTGCGGTCCCGCGTGTGCCGGGCGCTGGGGCCCTCTATGGCCGCTTGAGTGACAGGCAGGAGAAAGTGGTGGTCCTCTCAGCGCCCCCAAACGCTCCCTCCCCCCGCTTCTTGAAAATCTTCCAAAAATTAAGAGCAGTATTTCAAGCGCACTGTCAAAATGTCTCCCCAGCGTTGATTGGGCTGGGCGCCCCCCTCCCCTTCCCCCATCCGCACCCTTTGCGTTTTTTATGGCTGTGAAATAAAGGTTGGTGTTATCGTGTTTTCCCCTTTAAGGGTAGACACCTTGGAGCGGGAAACTTGTTCAGATTTTCTGCAGGAGGTGGCGGCCGAGCGCGGACGGGGCTCCGGGGACAGGATGAAGAGCTGGACTGGGCTTGCTCTTCATGCCCGCGGGGTTTGGGGGCCCAGAATCAGTCCCAGCCCCCACCGTCCCACTCCGTTGCCCACGGAGATGGCCAGTGCAGTGGGCTCCTGGCGGCTGAACACACGCGCGCAATCTCCCTCCCTCTCCCTCTCTCTCTCTCTCTCTCCCTCTCTCTCTCTCTCTCAACCTGGGGCGCGAATTCCCTAGCGAGGTAGTCACATTATCAGGGCTGGGAAAACAAAAACCGCTGTGGGTCCCTGTTCCTCCGGCAACAGCGCGCAGACGCTTTAATTGCCACAAATTGTCACTCTGTCCCCTTTTCATTTTCTCACTCCTTCGTTTATTTTTAGTACACTTCAAATGCCTACACACTTCCCCGGGAAGGAGCTCGCGGAGCAATTATTGCCTTTGCCTCCGGGGCTTGCTTTGCTAACTGCCGAGTGGGGACGGAGTCCACAGGAGAGGCGCGCGCGTCCTTCGCCCCGCCAGCGCCAGGTGGGGCGCAGCGCGGCCCCCGCCCTCCTGCGCGCCCCTTCCTTGGTGCCCGGGCCCCCATTACCTGGAAGAAAGGAGATGGCCCCCCTCCTCGTACTCCCCATCACACCCACCCCTAGTGCTCCTAGTGTCACTTGGATCCAGCAAATCCCGACCGAATTGGCGGGTTCCTCCAGAAGCAGTTGGGGGGGTCCCCCGGGGACCCGCTCTGGGTTCTGTGTTGAGCAGAAAGACCCGCCGCGCGTGGGTAGCCGCCCTGCCCCGTCCCTCCCGGTGCCGAGAAGGAGGATCCGTGTTCTCTCTGGGAGGGCTCCGTGAGGGTGGGCGCCCCCGGACAGGCCACGGAAGGCCCGGCTCCTCCTCCGTCCAGGCGAGCTCTTCGGTTGGTTTGGAGCGGTTGTGACGGTCGCCGGGGCGACTGTCCGTGGACACTCGGGGGTTCTAAGTATGAGCCAGGGATTCTTACAGAACTTTACACGCCACGGGGAAGCGCTATCCTGAGCCGCCGAGCCCCGCCGCGCCCCCGCCGCCTCTTCCTCGTTCTTTTCGGGGACACGAGCAGCAGCCCGGGATGAGGAAGGAGGCAGGTGTCTGCGGCAAAGCCGAGGGGTTCTCCAGCGTCCCGCCGGTGGATCCGAAACAAATCAGTGCGGGATTAACTTGTCTGTCTGCGGAATTGTCTCCAACAGCAAAACAGCGCGGGCCGCGCCTGCCTGGCGGGTTCGGGTTACTGGCCCGTCCTGGGAGCGCTGCCTCGCCCCTGGCCGGGCTGGGCCGCGACGGGCGGGCAGGCCTGGGGCCTGTCGGGCGCGGGGCGGGCTGGCTGGACGTGTTAAAGGGTGCAGTCAGGGAGGATGAACTGGTACATACACACACACACTCCTTCTATTTCTTTTTTATGCAAACATTTACAAGGAATTTTAATTTCAGATCGTAGAAGTAAATTTCATGCTAGGATATATTTTACAAAACATGTAATCTTTCGAGGCCGGAAGACGTTTAATTAAAACCATACTTTGACAAGTTGAGTTTCAAAGCGAAGTCACACCAGCGCAGGCTAATTCGTATTCAAGATGCAGCCTGTAATTCAAGTTGTTTGAAAACGCCGGCTCAGTCCCTGTGTGCCTCGCCGGGCTGTTACCTGCCCAAGGGCCCCGTGCATGGACTCCAGAGAGTCCCGCGGGAGGACCAAGTCCCCACACTCAGCAGTCCAGGGACGTGTCACTTGGGTGCCCTGCCCTGAGGCTTTCTGTTGTCCTTAGAATAATTCCCACAGGACCACAGGAGAGCAGGCAGGGGCAGAGGGGAGGCAGGTACCTTCCAGAGGCTCACTGGGATGGAGGAGGGCTGCCTTCTTTCCTCCTGGCTGACATATGCTAGAGCTTTGGGAATCACCCCAGCCACCCTAATCCTGGAGTTCCAAAACAGGGGGGTTGTCCCAGCTGCTTTGTGGGCACAGCCCTCACGGTTCTCAAGGAAGAGGCCTGTTGGTTCCCTGAAGCCTCTGAGCTGTGAACCGTAATTTTATAGTCATTTTCCTCAGTCATTCCCCTCTTTCATCTTCTTTGCTGTTTCCTAACAATTTGACCAGTCTCAATTTAAGTCAGAGGGGCTTAGGCCCACGTGGGAAGGATTTTTTTTTTCTTAAACCACTACCCCTGCTGGAACTGGGTGTCCATGGCCGGCCATGCCAGCTGGGGATGGGAAGGAACCAGTGGGTCCTCTAAGGTTGGCCCAAATGGGAGACAGAACGACTTTGCGGGGCAGTGTGGGTAGGAGCGGAGGTGTCTTGGATGGTGCTCCAGAGCTAGACACCGCAGCTGGTGCTGGCTCCAGTCCTGTGTCCACACTTCAGTCTTCCCCTTCAGATCCTCAGCCCGCTGGGCTTTTCTTCTCTGAGATGACAGTGAGTCGTCATCAAAGCTAGCCTCCTGGATGGTGTGAAACCTGTCCTAGAAAGAGACCAGGACATGAATTTGAGGTTTATGCTGGTTCCATTTTACCCAAAATGCTCAAGAAGGAAAACCTCTTCACTTATCCCAGCCACTCACAAGACAAGGAAGGGAGAATTTTGCTTCAATTGGGGGCTGTGAAAACCATTGGTTGGCTGATAAACCTTTTTTTAGGTCTCTATTTCCTTTCAAACACACCGTTATTGTCCAGTTCCTTAAAGCAGAAATATAAATCTATTATACAAGAAGTGTTCTGAAATCTATTATAAAAAAGTGTTTTAAACATCATGGCTCACTCATTTTAAAGCCTTATGTGATTGAAGTCAACACACTTTTGATTTTATTGGGCCAGTTTAGGAGAAAGCTCAATTTTTCAAAGACAATCCAAAAACACCTTTGTGAGAAAGTCTGTGGTGTCCTACAGAAACTACCAGCTGGCACTTCTGAAAGCTCAGGAGACATCTTCCGTGAAAATAGACAGTTCTTGGAAGTTATGTGCTTTAAACAATATTCCAACTTA